AGTTGTGTGTGTGCCATCTACATTTACTTTTAACCAGTAACATATATACTGAAATTTACACATCTGAACAAATCTTACAAGTGTTCCTTTTATTATGACACAAGAATTATTCAAATAGACCTTGTGGTTGCAGAGATAAACTGTTTTTATTATGGGTATGTAATTACCGAGAAAAGGCCTGAAAAATAGCTCAGGGCTTAAAGGGTTAAATAAAATGGCAAAGAATGTGTCTTTGTTAGCCAATATCTGAGTCTCATCTGAGCACTTTAAAAACAAATAAAAGGGAAATACTATTAATGCCATCTAGTGGTTAGTCTTTATAATTGGCAAGGGAAGGACAAGAAAATAATTAAAATATTGTCTAAAAATAGTATGAAAAGGACAACGGAATAAACTAAGGATAGTGTAGTTGAGGGAATAAACTATAGGTAGTAGGTAGAGGTTTGAGCAGAGTACTAGTGTTTTCCTTTTTGTCATTCAAATTCCAACCCTGGGCTGCAAGGTGGCTCGGTGGTTAGTACTATCCTCTCGCAGCAAGAAGATCGCCGATTCGCATCCTGGTAAGGACACCTGGGATCTTTCTGTGTGGAGTTTGCATGTTCTCCCTGTGCAGCGTGGGTTCTCTCCGGGTTCTCCGGCTTCCTCCCACACCGTCCAAAAACATGTTGAGGTTAATTGGTGATTCTAAATTGTCCGTAGGTGTGAATGTGAGTGGGCTTGTTGTCTGTCTCTAAGTGTAGCCCTGTGATAGACTGGCGACCTGTCCAGGGTGTCCCCTAAGTCAGCTGGGATAGGCTCCAGCCGCCCCATAACCCTAGTGAGGATTAAGTGGTGTATAGATAATGGATGGATGGAAATTCCAACCCTGTTATGTGCTGTAAGGGCCAATTGTTGTGGAACACCCACTGTTTGCTTTGGTTGGCAAACAAACTGCAAGTCACATAGTCAGTCAAATGTAAAAAGCCATACTAGCACATGCAATTTTCATAGTATCACTTTTAAATTAAAACTGTGTTTCTATCTTTTCAATCTCATATTCATAATACCCAAAGTAACAAAATCATTTGTGTGATTCGACTACTGCATGTGGCAACATTCTGAAATGCAAATGCGTCAGTAGCCACATAAAGGGAGTGGCGGGTAGAAGAACTCTGTGTTGTGTGCATGATTATGTAAGTTTACATGATCTGTCAACACAGCTGAGGGAAGTAGAAAAAAAAATGCAGTGTGAAATGAATCAGACTTTAAAAACTTTAAAAATGTTTGTGTCAAAGACCAAAGTGCAGAGACGACAGGCAAGGAAGGTTGTGGAGAAGAACAAGACAGGCATAATGACAAAATATAACAGGAAATAACTGAACCAAACACAAGACCATGACGTTTTCTTCAGCATCATAGTAATCCAATGAGAGTTACTTATATATAGAGAGAAGATAGGGCGGAGCTTTACTTCCTCGTTTTCAAATCTTCCATTTTACACCATCATAGAATCTGGAATTTTACACCCACAAAACACAACTTGTACTTTTCACTGAAACTACTTTCTAAACAAGCAGCAGTCCCTATTTCTGCTATCTGCAGTACAAACTGTGACCTCAACATCAATACACAAGGACTCCCCCACCTCACAAATACTAATTTAGTCTCTGAATTTTTATGGTAACAGCACAAACAACTACTAATAGCTTTATGTCCTACCTCACAGGAAGAAACTTCAGAGTATCCTGGAGGGAAGAAGTGTCCGAACCACACCACCTATCCACAGGGGTTCCTCAAGCGTCAGTGCTCGGTCCCTTTCTCTTCACAATTTACACAACCTCACTTGGTACAATAATCCACGGCCATGGTTGCTCATACCATTGCTATGCTGATGATACCCAGCTCTTCCTGTCGTTTGCCACAGACGACAACACGGATCTCATCATGCCTTGCAGAAATCTCAGCATGGATGAAAAAGCATCACCCACGAACATTTCTAAGACTGAGCTCCTTGTCATCCCAGCCAGTCCCTCTCTACAACAAGAAATCAATATCAAGCTGATTCAACCCAAGTCAAACCCACAAAATCTGCCAGATACTTGGGTGTCATGATTGACCTTCAAGGTTCATGTGGCCTCTGTTGCTCTGTTGTGTGTGCAGCACAACTCCTGACACAAGCTCTCATAATATCATACACTAACTACTGCAACTCCTTACTGGCAAGCCTCCCCGCATCCACAGTCAAACCTCTGCAGATGATCCAGAACTCAGCAGCACATCTGGTTTTCAACCAGCCAGAAGCAGCACATGTCCCCCCGCTGTTCAGATCACTTCACTGGCTTCCAGTTGCTGCCTGCATCAGATTCACAACTCTGACACAAAACTACAATGAGAACAGCTCCCTCCTACCTGAACTCTCTCATTCGGGTCGACACTCCCTCCAGCTCACCACGCTCGACCAACAAAAGCCGCCTGATACAGCCGCCACAACAGGGCCCAAAGTCGACTCTTCTCCTCTGTGGTTTCCTGGTGGTGGATCGAGTTACCAAACTCTGTTCAATCTGCTGATTCCTTCTCAGTCTTTAAGAAAAGACTAAAGACCCAGCTCTTCACTGAACACCTTTGTGCTTGACAGGCTGAAAACCAAAAAATAAAACAAACAAAAAATAAAATAAAATAAAATCCTATTACCTCCCTCACAGCCTGCTATTGGCATCAACGCCCTATCACACTTTAACTTGTTCTATGGCACTTATCCAGGTTGTTTTCTCCTGACCAGATCCTTGCTCGTGTTGTATTAACTTTCAGATGTGCGTCGCTTTGGATAAAAGTGTCTGCAAAATGAAATTCTAGTAATTGTAGCTCAACCAGTTCACTCTTGATGGTGACAATTTACTTAAATGTAGAAGTGGCGAAAAAAAATAAAGGGGGGCTGACATTTTTAACATTTTTTTAAAGAATTGCAACTTGATATCATTGAATATTACTTTTTATTTGACACACAATAAACACGACTTAATTGATTGCAAAAAAAAACCTATAAACCAACATGTTACTGTCACTATTTGTCTTGTTCCTGTAGTTTGACTTGAATGAAAACATGTGGTGGTTGTTTTGTGAAGTACAACTAGACTTCGTTGCAAACGGATGAAGAGATCACAAGATGCAGCAGGTGAATAGTTACTCAGCACTCTCACTCTCCATCTCTCCATCTCGTTTTCTCTTCTCCTTTTCTGTTTCTCTCTCTCCGTCTATCTGTTTAAAAAATATACATACATCCTCTTTTTTACAGTATCATGCAAATAAATCAAGCTATGTGATAGAGAGAAGAAGCTGCCACTCCTTCATTTGAGCAGAGAGACAGCAATTGTTGCATTAAGACTGTAGAAAACTGTACAAACTGTCCGACCGAGACAATGAGGATAACCTTGAAAGTCTTCGTCTGCCTAATGACAGGTAATGTCATTCTTCTGTCAAGTAGTGAATGTGTTTGATGAATTTTATTTTAAAACTTTGATGATGAAATGCTTTTTTTCATTCTTGTTTTTTTTTTAAAATGACAGTTAGTGTGAGTTTATTGCCTGTGATGGAAAGTAAAAGAGGATCCGTCAACAAAAACTGTAAGTACAACAAAGATGTAAAGCATCATGTGCAACACTTGTGTTTAGAGAACGGTGGACGGCTACGTTACACATTTCAGCTACCTGTATACTTATTTGATAACTCGAGCTTTCTTCTAGTTTCTGCTTTTCACTTCCTCTCTTTAGAGAAACTTGTTGCCTGTTTACACACATTTAGCATACGGCTACAGTGATCAGGTCTTAAGATGTGTCACAAAGCAATGGATAAAATTAGCTTCAGTTTAACAACCATAATATTGATAAATACAACATTAAAACTTCATCATCAGAGCATTTTTGCAGCCAGCTTTTCAAACCACACAGTCCTGACGAGCAGATAAATCACATGTTGAGTGTTAAATTTGTGAAAAATGGTAACAAGACATGTTTTTGAAACTTTTTTGTTGCCTTGAAAACTTGTAAAGTAAAACCCAAATAAAAACAGATTGTTAGTCCATGATCATCCAGCAGGTGGCGTCGGTGGGTAAAATGACATTCTTGGGATGATGCAGTTCGTTTGACCCGATTCAATTAAAATGTTTCTTCTGATTTGATCACAACTCATTCAGAGGCACCTCTACTCCATGTAGGCTTCATTACACCAGTAGATGGTGGATTACAGTCACAGCTAAGTTATGGGACTCTTGTTCAGACTCTTGACCAGAGCGGTAGACTGTCTGAGTCCATTGTTCACCCTGTAACTCTCCAACTGCTTCGGCTCTAGCGTGTCTCCAAACAACATAGACCACATAGACTTGTTTGTTAAATGCTCTTAACTTGCTCTCGCTGGCCATCATCAATAAGAGAAGCAGCTTTCAGGTCACACATCTGATGACAAACAGAAGAACTAATCTGTACAGGAAAGTGAATGTGAAGGGACTCGATCTCCTCGAACGGATCTGTGGACAGTTGTCAGTTGGACTTGAACGTTCCGGTTTTGGATTGTGAGACATTTTGATCTTTAAACACTTATGCTGCATTAAAAGGTGTCATATTGTGCAACTTTTCAGCAAATTAATCCAAGTCTCATGCATTGCCACAATATTTCTTTCAGTTTTTCAGGACAAAATACTGCACAGATGGTTGATTTGACCACGACTGTATCACCAATGATTTTAGGGATGTTCTGACTGGGCTGTTGTTACTGCCCCCTTAAGGAAGAACATGTTGTCACAATCACATTCTGAGCTGGGTGTAAACGTCCAGCTCAAACTGTAAACGTCTTCATATTTGAACAGCTTTTATTTGACACCACCAAGTTTACTACAACCGCAAAACACAATAAAAATAGATTTTCACCATGTGGCGCCTTTAGGTCTTCAGTTCATGATTTTTATCTTCCTGGCAGGTGAAAACACAGCAGTGACCTTTACTGCATATCGTGGAGGTTCTGTTACCGTCAACTGCACGTATCCAAGAGCAGAAGCAAGCAGCGTTAAATTATTCTACAGAGATACAACCAGTCTAATATCATCTTTCCAGTCACAACACACAAAACGAGACAGGTTTTCTCTGACAGACGATAGACAACAAGGAGTCTACACTGTGATTATTTCCTCACTGAATGAGAGCGACGCTGGAAAATATTGGTGTGCTATGGAAGGTGTTAACGACAACTCCACTACATGTTTGACCGAGATCCTCCTCCGTATTTTGAGTATGTATTGATGTGATTCTAATCATCCAAACTCAAAACTAACCAAGATGATAACACAATTAGAAACAGGAAAATGGATAATTGTATTTTAAATGCTTATATTACACGTAAAAAGTAGTTGTTCATCTGGATTTTCCTTTTTTTTCAGATTGGGAGGACATTAAACCATTGAAAATCAGTGAACATCTCTTACAGTCTGTACAGATTACATGCCCGTATCCTAAAAGCCATGAGGGTAATGAAAAATTCCTGTGCAAGGGGGAGAATCCTTTAAACTGTGAGGAGTTAATACAAACAACAAAGGAGGACAATGCAAATAAAGGCAGATTTAGTATAAGGGATAATCAAAGGTTGGCTTACTTCTATGTGTACATCAATCATCTGACCGAAGCCGACTCTGGAACATACTGGTGTGGCTCCGGAAGAACCATGCAGCATGATGAATACACCAAAATACATCTTTCAGTGGGTGAGTATTCTGGTGCACTACTGCAGATAGAACACATATTAGTCAGCTTTCCACTGCAGGAACTCAGAACAGACGTCAGGTGGTGGAAACACCCTAATGGTCCTTTTCAGCCTTTTTGTTTTCATTGCGGTGAAGAATCCAACAGCTTTGACTGCAACAATAATTCAGATTGTGTTGAAACAACCACAAATAGTAGATTAACATCGGTTCTTTAAACATCCATCCATTATCTATACACCGCTTAATCCTCACGAGGGTCGCGGGGGGCTGGAGTCTATCCCAGCCGACTTAGGGTGAAGGCAGGGGACACCCTGGACAGGTCACCAGTCTATCACAGGGCCACACTTAGAGACAGACAACCAAGCACACTCACATTCACACCTACGGACAATTTAGAATCACCAATTAACCTCAACATGTTTTTGGACTGTGTGGGAGGAAGCCGGAGAACCCGGAGAGAACCCACGCTGCACGGGGAGAACATGCAAACTCCACGCAGAAAGATTCGCGAACCGGCAAACTTCTTGCTACGAGGCAACAGTGATAACCAACTGCGCCACCTTGCAGCCCCGTGGGGGGGCTGGAGCCTATCCCAGCTGACTCAGGGCGAAGGCAGGGGTTCCTTAAACACAGAAATTAAATTATTGGATGTATGCTAACTCACAGGGTGAATTTTATTTGGTGATAAGAGAAGACTTCTGCATGAACAGGACATTAAAATGTGGCTTTTTGTCCTCTTTAAGTAACTTTTTTTGTTGTTGTTTTTTTTCCATTTCTGAACAAACAAACCCTGAAAAAGGTTCCACTGCAGTAGTTCCTGCAGTTGGAATACACACAAAACCTGCCAGTTCCTGCCGTGGAAAGAGATTTCATTCCTTTAATAAACCTGCGCTGTTTACCGTTCATGTGGAACACCAGAATAACATCAGTAATTGCATCAACTTAATATTGTGTGTAATGTAAACTCAAATTTCTGTGTCAGTTGATTTGAAATTAAATTTAAGTTGATGTAACTTAATAAACCAGCTTGATGAGTTTTCTTCAGCTTTCAGGATCCCCTCTCCTATCTAAGCATACCTGAACAAATTCAGATGGTTAAGCTGTTGTAATACAAATACTTTTCACTGTAGAAGAAAAGGTCATCCTCTAACTCGATGCAGTTTGTTGGTTGAACATAATTTCATAGTAATTTGTCATAAAGATAGAGCTGTTTTTGTTGAGCTTAAACATTATTTTTTAGAGTGTGATCAATTCGGCCATAACACAAGTAGTTTTACTTCTGTTATTTAACTACTTTTTGCTGCCAGTATTGATTTACCTAATTTAGAAAAAGGGTAAGTAAAGAGTAAGTAAAAGATCTGAATACTTTTTTCCACTAATGATGTTTTCTGTCTCAAATGGCATGAGAAAGCCCTAGAAGGAGTCAAGTGTCTGGGTGTCGGAGTGTGATAAGGTTCCTTCATATAAAAACAGCTGTATGCATGAGTGTGTTTCTGCATGCTTGAATGTCACTTAAGCCTTGAATCTTAAACCTTCCGTTTTTTGTTTTTTTTTGACCCCTCACAGTTGCAAAAGGCCCCAAAACCAAGACACTAGACCCTCCAGGTCAGCAGACAACAACAACAGAACCAGGACTGACCACAATCAAACACAGACTAGGACAGAACGATGACAAGGACCCAGTGAGTCCATCCAACAAATATGACTTAAGTAAGTGTCCGCTAACAAACAGCTGCTCTTCATGTCCCTAAATACACAAAAACACATCTTCTACTTCATGCATGAACGTTGAGGACAACGAAACTTTATGCTTTAGCTTATTCCACTGTTTTCTCTCGTTTGCAGACAGGATTGTTGGAGTTGGACTGTGTCTGGTGTTATTAGTAGCATTATCTGTGGTTGTACTAATAGTGTACAGGCGCAAATGCCTCAAAGCACAAGGTGAGGGATGGAAATTTGACATTTATGTTTGTAGATTTATGAGCATTCTTCTTTTTTTGGTTGAGAAAGTCATCATCTGTCTGTATTTATACCATCATTGCTTGTTGTGCTGCAGGAGGATCACCGAAGCCGAGGACAAACGCTGTACATCACTCTGAGGTGTGTGTGTGTGTGTGTGTGTGTGTGTGTGTGTGTGTGTGTGTTTAGTTTGCATACGATTACAGCAGCTGCATCTGTCACACTTCACCTCTTTTCTGCTCCTCAGAAAAATAATGAAGATCACAACTACGAAGAAATACAGTTGCAGAACCAGGCGGAGAGCTCGCCGACGACTGTTTATGCGACTGTCAGTCTTCCTGCAGACCTGCTTCACTACTCCAGCGTCACTTTCCACAAGAACGGAAACTCACCTTCTGACACAGATATAAATGGCACAGCTCTGGATGCCACCCATCCTCCAGCAGCAGAGCAAACTCTCTATTCTACAGTAAGAAAGAGCGACGAAGAACAATAATATAGCCGGTCTTTTAATGTGTATTTGCAGGAGAGTTTTTATTTTGTTTTTTATTTTTTGGGAGGGGGGGTCAGATTTGTGACATAATCCGGTTGGTACAATTCTCAGATCACTAGTTGGTGAAGTGTGGCTCATAATATCACATACATATTAATGCATGTGTGCTCAGAATATGAAGGTGAACATCCTGTTTAGGAATCTTGCTGTATCCGGTTTTAGTCAGTCACTCTTCGTAAACACAGGCTTTCTGTATAAATTTGTTTCTCTGCTGAAGTCATGGCAAATGGAATCATGCTCACATAAGTAGGCACTGTAAGAAAGAAAATACCTGCTTACTGCTTTTTATTTCATGAGGTAATTCAGAGTTATTAGGATTTAATAAATTCCTCATGAACTACTTGTTAATTAACTGGAAATAGTTATGGATTTGTTCCATTGCTAACTCATAGTACCTTGTAAAGCATTGTTGACTATTGTTTATCGATTTTGCTTTTTCAGTGTGGCACATTAAATAATAAAAGGTGAAGATGCAGACAAACGTTCTATCTTTATTGTTTTAGTTGCAGCTTAAAAGACGTCAAACAGTACTTTTAGTTTCTACTGTTTCTATGAGGAAAATTAAAGTTTTCAGCTGCTCTGAGCTTTTTATTGACGAAATATAAGTGTAAGGTTCCTGAATGCAGAAAATCTCATTTAGTTTTATGACTTACACATTTTCAGCTGATTGCAGTGTGCTTTATTGAAGCTCAGCGGTTTTATTTTCTTCTTCGGTGTCTTGATTTTCTCTGTAACACCCTCTTGTGGACATGTCAGTGAAGGATTAAGTCGTTCCCTTTTGCCATGAAGGCGTTTACAGCCTCTCACCTCCTGTTAACTCCTCTGTCATGTATCACATCTCTGCAATAAATATATTCATTTCATCGCAACAAACAGACTGTAAGTCCTCCAATGCAAGCTCAGCATAAAAGCAAAGGATGAGCTTCGACTCAAAACAAACTGTGGTAACATGAAATTCAGATGGTAAATATAAAAAGTGGAGAAAACATTTCTTTGCGATATAATGAACAAATATGCAATACATCAATAAAGAACAATGTCCTGGTTTTAATAATACCTTCCTTTATTTGGCAAACCTAATTTCTTAATAGCTGATTTTGTACAGATGCACATAATCAAACATACACAATAACAGGAGACAACCTAACATAGTGAAAGAATATATGAATATGAAACAGTGAAAGAATTACAGAATATCAATATCTTGAAATTGGATTGAGGAAAGCTGACTTATAAATATCATGTGTTCAAACTGGTGACTAGGTTGTGACACAAAAACAGATATATTTTACAGGAATAAATCACGTTTCCCTCTGCATTGTAGAAAAATGCTTATGGAGGTAACTTTTCTATCAGTGCTGGACTACAGTGATGTTTTACATGCGTGCATCAGTGGCGTCTCTTAAGCCTTTGGTCACCACTGGGAATAATTATAATACTCATCACTGTGAGCTGTATGCTGTGAATCTTCATGCTCTCAGAGGCCTGATAGACGCTCGGTTTCGGTTTTATTTAACCTCCTGACGTCCTGCATGACCTCATTACTGTATTAAATGTGGACCCCCTCCAAACATGCACAAATGATTGGATTGCATGTGTCAGCTGCTTTTACTGAGTTTGGAAAATCCAGTTGTACCCATCGTGCGCCTACAACCTGGAATAACCTGCAAAACAAACCGAAGCTTGATTCATTTTTGTCCTCGGGGTAATTTTAATTGCACCTTATTTTACCTCCAGCTGCTCTGGTTCTAGTCGATCTGCTTGTTTTTGAACCTTAAATGCTCAAATTACAGTTTTTAATAAAATGACTTTAATGTTGTGTTGTTATCCAGGTTTCTTATTTGTGTTTCTACATCTTTTATGTTCTTGCTGAGCTGCACTGGAAATGAGGCCTTCAAACCCTAATGAACTTGGAGTTTAAATTAAGGTTGGAAAACTTTAATGGAATTCGGGAACTTGACCAAGAACTTGACCTAACTTCCTTGATGGGTATGAATCAGAAAGAAGAAGCTAATTTAAGTCCCTTGCGGTCTTTTAGGTACTTTTCTTTCACTCTCTGTCACAGTCAAGAAACTACTATCTAATAAAAATGACGACATGTTTATGACTGACGTGTGAGCGGACCAATGACTGAGCAGAGTGACGCAGGAGGCGGAGCTACTTTCTCCGGCGGAGGCTGGGTGTCGCCTGACCGGATGATGACAGAAGTTTTCGGTTTAATGTGGCTACTTTTGTCATGCAATCTCCGATTTGAGCAGCTTGGCATTTCTCTGAACGCTGTCGAGACTTTTGACGCTAAACTATCGTGCGTTTTATTGAAATAAACTCCCCGAGACGGTGACGGGCTGCTGTGCCAACTGGGAACTTTTGTGTTACTGGACGAGCGACCCTTTGGCTCTTATTTGACCGGCCAGGAGCGCAGGATAAAGCCCGCAGGGCTGACCGAGCCGCCGCTATGGGAAACCGGGGGATGGAAGACCTGATTCCCCTCATCAACAAGCTCCAAGACGCCTTCAGCTCCATCGGCCAAAGCTGCAACTTGGACCTGCCGCAGATAGCGGTCGTCGGCGGCCAGAGCGCAGGGAAGAGCTCCGTGTTGGAGAATTTCGTCGGGAGGTTGTACAGTTTATGTGTAGTCTTGGATCATTCTGCGAATGCTAGTTTTCCTGTTTCTGACTCTTATCCGAGACCGTTTGGTTTTCTACAAACAGCATCGAGCTTTTGCGTAAAAGTCGCCAACTAAGCACTTGGTTACGCGCTGTGTGTGTCGGTGCCTCCCAGTTTCTAACGTTTTTTTTTTTTTTTTTCCAACGAATTTTTTCCATTTTGGAGCTGAGCTATTCACAACTGATGATTGCGCACTTTGCGCAGGAAAACAGCTGTTGATTCAGAGACAAAACCTGAAGGGAAATTATCTTTAAAAAATGTTAAAAGTGACTTTAATCCAGAGATCCACATTATAAAAGTATACAGTTCAACTTCCTCGGCAGATCTATGACTGCTGTCAGTGCGTCTTATAATCCTGTCAAACATTTACTAAACCTGTTTTTCCTTATGACTGCATGGGTTGTAAATAAATATGTCTTTATAGGCCTCACAATGCATAGGTCATGTTAATGTTTTACTCTCAAAGGGTGAGGTGGAGATCTGATGAAGTCATAGTGGGATAAATGAATTATTAATCCAAACAGAAAATGCCTGCAGTGGCTCTTTCCTTGTGAGGCTGATGAATGAACTCAAAGGAATTTTAATTGTGGGTCCTTCTTGATGACAAATAGCAGAAACCTGCTCTTACATTCTGTAAAATAGTCATTTTTTTTGCAGTCATCCACACTCAGCTTGGCATGAAATCAGTTCCAGAGGAAGGGGAAGGGGAAGAAGACAGGCTGCCGTGGAGGCCCTAATCTAGTCAAGATAGCTGCTGCAGCTTCGCGTCTTAAGTGAAGCGAAGTCTTTACCCGTCTACATGACACACAGAATGATTTCATTTGTTGTCCGAGAGATTGGGAATGTTGATCAGGGCGCCATGTCTCCTTTTTTTTTTTTTTTTTTCCTGTTGCCTTTTGTCTCCGAACCCCAAGCAGTGGCCGAGGGAGACAGTAGGGGCATTGATGTGTTTGTGCTGGGGTCATCAGTGATGTCACCAGCTGCACTGTCATGTGTATATGACACACTGGGTACCAGATACCCACAGAGGGGCGCTGAGCTGTTTTCATGTTTGTTAATTAGCCTGCGGACACGCACAGATGTAACGCTGGCTTTTGAGACCGCTGTTTGTCCGATTTAGTGAGTTGGGCCCAGTTTTGATTAGACGGTCAAGGTGGAGCTTTACATCACTGATTAATGTATTTATTGTTTTATGTTTGACTGTTTAATGCTTTGATTCTCAGTTTGAGTGACTCAGAGGCACAAGGTGGATCCGTGCAAGGCTGATGGAATAGAAAGCATTCTTTGGAACAACATGTTTCCTTGTTAGTTAAATGTTGGATAATTTCACCTCTTCAGTTCTCCATAATTTAAATAAAATAATACAAGGGCAATATCACTGTGTTTAGTGTCACAAGGCAGAATGTTTGGGGAAAAAAAACACTTTAAAGATGACTTGAGATGATTTTTTTTGATAGTTTAGTTAATGTAACTGAATGAAATGTGGAAAATATACAACACTAGCTCTAAGAACCCAAGATTCTAATGTTCTGTTTTTACTAATAAACAGCCCAGACAGTAGAAAAATGTTCCTTTTTCAGTGATATAAAGAGAAAAGCGTCAAATCCAAAGCTGGAAGCAGCAGAATTTTGCCCGATCTGAAAGACTCAAACAAAGAAACCATAATCAGAAATGTTTCCAGTTAATTTTATGTTGATGGACTAATAAATTCATCATTCAACCACTGGTTTTGACCGTAAAATGTCAACAAATGAGCACAGGAGCTTAAAACCAGAGTCCAGTTTACTTGATAAGCGACTCAGTAATTTAATTAATTAATTGTCTCGGTAATCGGAGGACTTGTGTTGCGGTTTCATAAGTGACAGGAAGATATGAGGAAACAGGATGGGGGATCACAGTTGTGTAACATCCTGACTGCGCTGTCAGCAGGGAACATCGGGCGCAGATTCAGTGTGTGTGTTCACATGATCAGATCTTGGTGCGAGTGTTTCTGTGTGGCCTACTTACCTTCCAGTAAAAAAAGTCAGGCCTTGCTGCTGCTGCTGCTGCTGCTGCTGCACTGACAAAACATGCAGACAGACAGACACGGACATATTCTCATGGCCTGGAGAGATGTGCGCTCAGTGACCTGGAAATGATCACAGTTCTATTGAACATGAGTTTCCATCCTGATGAACGTGTTTGTAATGAGAAGGGGAAGCAGAGTTTGTCTCTCTTTGCGCTATAATGAGCAGCCTTGTAAGTCAATCTTTGTCTGGCATCAATAATGCACACGCTCAGGTGGAGGCCTGCATGAGTAATTTAAGGTACTCGGAAACAGTTGTACAGCATGAACTCTTATTTTGGAGGAAGCTGATGCATATTTAGTATTCTGACAGTTAAAACACGCTGATGATTTCTTTTTACTACATCAGTAATATTTCAGAAGTGGAATAATGAATTGTTGCTTGTTATTTAATTTAATTTGTGGTAGTGACCCATGTCTGTCCAACAGTCTGCCATTTTTGCCTGCAAATATCCTTAAGTTGTATGTTTTTTTTAAACTCTACCTCTGTCTCTCCATCAGGGACTTCTTGCCGAGAGGATCTGGCATCGTCACCCGTCGTCCTCTCATCCTCCAGCTGGTTAACAACAAAGCAGGCAAGTTGTGTAAATAAATCTCAATTGCTGGGAAACGGTGTTTGCTGCTCCCAAAATTAAGTTTGCGTTGTGAGAATCAGCATTTACATCTGGTCAAAAAAAAAAGAAAAAAGGATCAATTTACTCGACGCCCAAATGGGAACCAAATGTTCACGCCGGGGGACCTTCAGACTGTGTAGTTGTATACAAGTTGCTGCATTTGTGCAGCTGGCAGACAGGCAGAGACAAGTCTTTGCAAAAAAGTATTCTTAAATCCTGCTTATTATAATATGTTTCATACAGATAGTTTGGCTTCACTTCTTTAAAATTACTGCACTGACCTATTTTGTTGCATCTTTCACGTTCTCGCCCTCATCTTGTCATATGCATCTATATTTATTTCCTGCCAATCCATCATCCCCTCTACTGTCTAAAAATGGGCTGAATGATTCAGGCAAAATATCTGACCTGTCAGATATCGCGATTTGATTTTAAGTAGAATTCTTTTTTTTTTTACAGTCAAGCTTTAGTTCATTTTTCATCATACAAAATATTTAGCAAATCGTTCATTGCCACCTGTGATGCATTTAAAGGTGCGGTCGTCACACAAACGACACAGCATGAATTTGCAAAACTACTGTGTGAAAGTTTAAACTTTGGGTCAGACGTGCTGCAAAGTGTACAAGGCGTGCCTGATAAATATAGAGATTGGGCTTTTGTCATTTTAACTGCAGTGCAAACAGTTTAAACGCACTTTGATCAATGAGGAAACCCTGGGAATAATGAAATCTATACACCACTTAATCCTCACTAGGGTCACAGGGGGCTGGAGTCTATCCCAGCTGACTGAGGGTGAAGGCAGGGGACACCCTGGACAGGTCACCAGTCTATCACAGGGCTACACTTAGAGACAGACAACCAAGCACACACACATTCACACCTACGGACAATTTAGAATCACCAATTAACCTCAACATGTTTTTGGACTGTGTGGGAGGAAGCCAGAGAACCTGGAGAGAACCCACGCTGCACGGCTAGAACATGCAAACTCCACGCAGAATGTGTCCTCACTGGGACATGAACCGGCGACCTTCTTGCTGCGAGGCAACAGTGCTAACCACCAAGCTAGCCCTCCCCACCTAAATTCACCAAATTACAAAAAAAGCTCACGCCTGACCATTTCATATTCGTTAGATGTTTTTCCTGTGCATATGTTTGTTATTAAGTAAAACACATGTGAGATCTGGGGTCACAGGTAACATTAGCTTTTGAGTTTTTTGTGCTGTTTTCTTTGCACCAGTGTTTAAGGTTTCATAACTTGAGGAATAATGTAATAAGAGTCCAGACATGTTGCAGGCTCATTGATATGAACATATAGTCTTCAATGGTACAACCCTGCTTTGATAGAATAATAAACACCAGTTATATGTTGGTGCAAATTTGGTCAAAAAAATGTTAATTTTTTTGTTTTCTCCATGTAGAGTATGCAGAGTTTCTGCACTGTAAGGGACGTAAGTTTGTCGACTTTGATGAAGTGCGTCTGGAGATTGAAGCAGAGACCGACCGAATCACTGGATCCAACAAAGGCATCTCTTCCATCCCCATCAACCTCCGCGTCTACTCCCCCAATGGTAACAAAGTCACGTACATACAAAGCCTTCTTAGTCTAGTTTTCAGCGTCTGTCCGACTGATTTTATCCTCCTCTCTCTCCTCCTCCTCCTCTCTCAGTGTTGAACCTGACCCTCATTGACCTGCCGGGGATGACCAAAGTGGCCGTGGGCGACCAGCCTCACGACATCGAGCATCAGATCAGAGACATGCTGATGCAATTCATCACCAAGGAGAGCTGTTTGATTCTGGCCGTTACCCCAGCAAACACTGACCTGGCCAACTCCGACGCTCTGAAGATCGCCAAGGAGGTCGACCCTCAGGGTGAGCCGGCGCTGTGAAGGATCGCGCTCATTTAGAGATTTCTGTAAACGTAACCTTTCTTTTTTTTGCTCTAATTTTGCACAAAACTAATTACTCCTGGCTGTAACTTGGAGCCATTAGCGCTCTTCTCCTTTCTATTAATCTTTGCCTCAGTGCAGGAACCGACTTGTCAGGATAATTAACATTTACATTATTAAAAGGTTTCCTGGCAGCTAAGATATATTGAGTAAGATTAGCAGAGATATAATTAAATTTAACTGTCTCCACCTTTGGCTCCATTATTAACCATTTTAAGGCTCGTAGCTGTAGATTAATACTGATTTAATAGAAAGCCTAAATTATCTCTGTGAATCCTAAAAGTCCTGTTTCTTATGTGAATATTAAAACGCGATCATATGAAAACCTTTTGTTTTCAGGCCTGAGGACCATCGGTGTGATCACAAAGCTGGACCTGATGGATGAGGGGACGGACGCACGAGACATCCTGGAAAACAAACTGCTGCCACTCCGTAGAGGTAAAACCACACAGAGGAAGACGGTTGTGCTGGTTCTGTAATCTTGGCTAATTAGGATAAAGAACTCCGTGAAGCTGAAGAGACACTTAGTTAAGAATAGCAGATCAACATTGTAGGAAGTGTAGCTTTATATATATATATATATATATATGTTGGCCTTCGCTGTCAGAAAGTAATGTTTGATTTGAGTGAGGCTGAAAGGATGCAAAGAATTTACACTGAAGCTTCAAAGCTGCAAAAAAAGAGAAAAGGACTCTTCAGCGACTAATCAGATTAAAGGAAATTATTAGGAACACTAGATGAGTCAAATCAGATCAAACTGCGTTGCTTTCCGGCTCTAAACCATGATTCGGTGGAAAATCTTTGTACTGTCAGAGATACAGAGATAAATCCTGAATCATATATTGGCCAAAGTGTAACTACAGAGAAAGAAAAAAAACAGCACAGGATATCGTGGCTTCTGACAGAGGAAACAGAAAAGGTGAGGTATAGACAAAGATGCATTTCCTCGTAAAAAGTGGCAAATACAATAGTATGAGACAGGGATGCTTTAACTTGTTAATGATGACAATAAGTGACTGCATGCCACAAACTGAGGGTCGCAGAATTAAAACACTATTTATGATATGACAAATAATGATCTGGACATATTGCACATACTTCAGACGGGACACTTTGTCAGATTTACCCATTTATTTGCAATGACATGCATTTGAGTTATGTTCAATGAACACAGTATGAACACAAAAACAACTGACATGGTCCTCACTTTACAAAATCCAGTTTATGTAGTTTTAAGGTCAAGTTATGAACCGTCTGTGTTCTACAGTCCCTCGCAATGTGAGACACAGCCAGAGTTATGAAACTGAACCTTTAAAAACAGAAGTGGTTGGACGAGATGTAGCAGCGATGTGGTGAGCGTGAAGCAGGCAGAATGAATGAACGCTGCCTCAGTTGTAAAACACGCGAAGTGGGTGGGCTGGACTTAAATAGTGAACGATTAGACAGAAAAGGGCTTTGTGACGCCCCGACTCCATGCCTGTATGAACTGACGCGAACCTTCATATCATGCACCTACATCCATCCATTATCTGTACACCGCTTAATCCTCACTCGGGTCGCGGGGAGCTGGAGTCTAACCCAGCCGACTCAGGGTGAAGGCAGAGGACACCCTGGACAGGTCACCAGTCTATCACAGGGCTACACTTAGAGACAGACAACCAAGCACACTCACATTCACACCTACAGACAATTTAGAATCACTAATTAACCTCAACATGTTTTTGGACGGTGTGGGAGGAAGCCGGAGAACCCGGAGAGAACCCACGCTGCACAGAGAAAACATACAAACTCCACGCAGAAAGATCCCGGGTGTCCTCACTGGGACACGAACCAGCGACCTTCTTGCTGCGAGGCAACGATGCTAACCACCGAGCCACCTTGCAGCCCATGCACCTACATGTGAAACATATATTTAACCTGCTTTTTCTGTCTTTCTTTCCATCTTTCTTTTTTCAAATTTCTTGTTTTTTTTTAACCCTTGATTTAATCTCATTCCACTAATTTTTTATTTTTTTTTTTTCCTTTGTAATTTTCGCACCTCGTTTTTTTTTACCTCCCCACCCTTGATGCTCTGGTAATATTATTCACTTGACATTTATGTTGACAAAGCGTGTTAAATTGAAAGTAAGCCAGATAAAACCACAGACAATGTCTAAAAACTAAAACTCTGAGCTCTGTCACCTGTTAGACTGATTGATTTAGCTACCAGCAATAAAATAAATACAAGGCAGATTTGTTAACTAATTTAGCTTCATCCACTCTGGTTTAAGTCTCACAAGTTTCTGCCTGACTGGCTAATCACTGACATCAAAAAGTTTTCTTTTTACAGGTGTCATGTCAGTTTTTGTATTCCCACCTAATTTCAAATAGAGGCCCTTAGAGCAACCATGAATGACATTATAGCATCTCCTTGAAATATTCTTTATAGTATTTCCTCTAACTTTAATATCTTGCCTGACTCTGTGTAGGACTAGGTTTTAATTTTGAGGTACGCAATTTAATCTTAAATGTTTTCTGTTCTAAGCGTAGGTGCTCTTTAATAAAGCAAAAATATATTTTTTATCTGATTCATTATTGCAATAATCAGTAAAATACTCTATTATTAAGGTAATAGATTTCTGTAGTTGTAAAGTTAACAGGAAGTTGTTTACTCTGTGGACATGTGCAACATGTGGTTTTTAGCAAATTCTGAGGACATGCCGTACTTTTGTGGTGTCAGTGTGGTCTTCAGTAAGTCCAACAAATTTGGATCTGAATCAAAAGTGCATATTGTATTTACCTTCAGGTTATATTGGGGTGGTGAACCGCAGTCAAAAGGACATTGATGGAAAGAAAGACATTCGCGCTGCTTTGGCTGCTGAGAGGAAGTTCTTCCTGTCCCATCCCGGGTACCGACACATTGCAGAGCGTATGGGAACACCTCACCTGCAGAAGACTCTGAACCAGGTGACACACATCAGATCGCACCTACGAACATGTACATGAAGCATTTTGTTTGTTGGATGTTTACGATGAAACAGTGTAATAGGGCATCGCTGTAGCTCACTGGTTGAGCTGGCGTCCCATGTGTAGGGGCTGCAGTCCCCGCTCATGACCCTTTGCTGACCCATTCTTCTCCCCCTACTTTCCTGTCTCTCGCTCTCAGTCCTATCTAGTAAAGCCAAAAAAGGCCAAAAATTATCTTAAGAAAAAAAAAAAGAAACAGTGTAGTAACTTAACGAGCGTGTGCCCTACAAAATTACAAAAAAAAAAAAATGTAAGAAGCTACTGTGTGCACACTCTTATTAGAAGTAAGGGACAGTTACTGCTGCTGTCATTGTAGCTGTGGTTTTGGTTTTTGGGAAGCTGTGGCTCAGGTGGTTGAAGTGAAGTGTCCTTGGGCAAGACACTGAACGCATTGTTGTGTGTAAAAGGCGCTATGTAAGTGTTTATAAAAAATATTAATCTCCTTTCGATTTAGATTCATGCCTTTTTGTATGTGACTATGTGCGATGTTTGCTTTCCGCCAATAATGGCAGGAAAGATCGATATTATTCTCATAAGACCCAAGAACCTTCTTCCTGTTGACGTCAGCGTCCCACATGCCTTCTGGTGAACTCTAGTTGATATTTAATGTGAGCCTTTTACAGCAGTGGTTTCCTCTTTGCCACCCTGCCATAAACCTTTGACTGGTGAAGAACAGGTAACAGTTGTTTGCACGGTCTCTCCCATCTCGGCTGCTGAAGCTTCACGGTGTGGTCATAGCCAGGAGTGCTGGATCTATGAGATACAACCACCTGACACTACGTCACTGCAGTCAGATGATCTATATTTCACTAATTGTGTGACTTGTAGCACCAGTTGGCTGCACCTGTGTTGTATTAGGTGAGCCGCTTTAAAGGGGGTGAATGCTTGTGCAATCACTTGTTTTATTTTTTCAATGTTTAATTATTGGCAATAGTTTTTTTTTTCTGAATCTGTTTCTGCTTTGAAGGAGTCTTTTTTTTTGTAAATTCTTGTCCAAAAAGCTAAATTAAATTGACCGTGGTTTAATATTGAAAAGCAATAAGAGGAGAAAGCTTCTCAGGGGTGTGAATACTTTACATAGACTGTTTACCATTTAAATGTGTTTGTGCAGTTTGAATCTCAAGGCTTTGTGCTTTCAGTGTATTATGTTTAATCAAGGTTGATGCAATTAAAATACAGATGCAGAGTTTTCCCTCAAACTGTATTTGGGCTGGTGAGTGTTCTGAGGCTTGATTTGGTAATTACTGCCCAGATTGGAAATGTTTTCTCAGGTATGTTTTGGACTTACACTGGGTAATTAAAAAAGCGACTGCACATGTTTCCTCTCAGCATCCACTAATGTGTATTTTTACCACTCAATGCTGGCGACAGCTGCGGCTGGAGACATTATGCTCTCAGATATCAGAACGACATCTCCGTAATGCCTTGAGGGCGTTTCGTCCAATCTGGCACAAACATTCACTTGGACTCAGTGATGAACTGGTTGGATTTTGATGGTCAGAGGTCACTGTAACAGAATGATTCATTCTCCACATATGACAAAATGAAGAATGAATGATGAATACAATGATGAGTTATCCAAAAGGTCAAAGTTCAAATGTACTGTGACATCCTAATGTTCTGCAAAAATACTTTTCTGACACTGTGGAACAGAAGGGGAGATTTTTGCCGTATTTCACATTAAGTCCCTCAATTGATGACACTGATCTCAGTGTGTGTGAAGGGTCCATGTTTTAGAATTTGTAGCTTCTGTGCTGCAACATCACATATTTGGAGCACTGGCTAAAACTTCACGTTCTGTCTGAACAGCAACTCACCAACCACATCCGCGACACGTTGCCAGGGTTACGCAGTAAGCTGCAAAGCCAACTCTTATCTCTGGAGAAGGAAGTGGAGGAGTACAAGAACTTCCGTCCAGACGATCCTGCACGCAAGACCAAGGCCTTGCTTCAGTCAGTACCTGCATACACAAATACACAGTGTTTATGAACTAAAGAACCTAGTAAATTGATTATACACTGTGTAAAATCTGTAGGATGGTGCAGCAGTTTGGTGTGGACTTTGAGAAGTGCATAGAAGGATCTGGAGATCAAGTGGATACCTCCAACTTGTCTGGTGGAGCAAAGATCAACCGCATCTTCCACGAACGCTTCCCCTTCGAGCTGGTGAAGGTGAGCAGCTTTGTGGTTTTTCCTTTTATCATCATTGTTGTCGTTATTATTTTACATTTAATTAACCTTACGATTTAATTTGTTCCGCAAGGAATTGCTCTGTTATTTTCCAGTAAACAGCAAAAACACCTGCAAGAACATATTCTAAGGGTAAACAAGTGGCTCCATCACTTTGTGAACTGTTTTGAATTTGCAGTCCTGATTAGAAACGGCCCAGTCAAGTTTGTTGGCACCGATCCAATCTGAGTCATTGAATATTTAGTATCAGCTGATATCAGATACCATTTTCCCAGATAATACACACTTCAGGTATTGTAGATCAGCTGTAGTGTCTCTTACTGTTTAATAATGTAGCAACCAGAGGAAACAGGCTCTTGTCGGTTGGCAAACGGAGAGCATTGTGGGGGTTTAGCTAGGAAAAGGGCACCATGGCAAAATCTTCTGGGGCAATTAATGACTCCTGGCACAAATCAATTCGAAATCAACTTAAACATTGCTCCAGTGACATGTATAACAGCTGCTTTTACATCTGTATCATGTGTCTGCAGCTTAGCAAGCCAAATCAGCGCATAAAAAGTGTGCTGAATTTGTATTATTAATCAGACAGTTATTGGATTATATTAATGTGCATATCAAATTTATGCAACAACAGTTTTGCTGGCCTTAGTGTATCCTGTATTTCTGTGACACAGGCATAGGGCCTAACCCTAACCCTAACCCTGAGAGCTGATTGGTTGAAAGTGATTCTCATAGTTGACCAATCATGCTTTAGGCCAAGGTTAGACACGCCTACCTCATTAGCATACACCTGAGGGAAAAAAAGGTGAGGAAAAGTAAAAATGTAGAGAGTGGGGAAATAAATAAGTGCACAAAACAAAAATAAATGCATTAATAAACAGACGTGGAAATAAAATTAATAGATGTAGAAATAAAACAAATGAACATGGGAAAAAATAAATGTGGAAATAAAAAAGTAAATATGGAAATAAAAAAAAAATAAACGTGGAAATTAAAAAAAAAAACAAAAAACAAGAAAATAAAAAAAACCTCTGCAAATAAATATAAATGTGGGAATAAAAATAAAGTTTTAAAATAAGATTAATAAATGGATAAACGAAAGGAAAATGTAAAAAATGACATATTCAATTATTTATTTTGTGATATATTCATTTATTTTTAACTATGACAGGTTTGGCCCTCCATACAAATCAAGTTTATTGTCATTTTGCTGTACATACACAATAGCACAGCAAGATGAAAGAGCGTTTCTTCAGCATTAAATAACTTCAAGCAATTAAAATAAATAAGTGTTTACATATCCAGATCAGCAGTTCAGCATTCTGACAGCTTGGGGAATGAATGATCGTTCTGGAGGTTCGTCCTTTAATGCACCGGAAACGTTTGCCTGATGGCAGCAGTTCAAACAGTTTATACATGTCAGGACTCATTAATTCTGAATAGAACAAATAAAATCTAAGCTTCCTTTTCTGTGTCTTAGATGGAGTTTGATGAGAAGGAACTGAGGAAAGAGATCAGTTATGCCATCAAGAACATCCACGGAGTCAGGCAAGTTCAGCTACCTGGCAAAAAAAAACAAGCATCGCATTTGTCTGCTTACATGTCTGTCAGCTTTTTGTCACGTCTCTGTAATGTGTGCTGACTCTAATGTATTCATTTTCTTGTGTTTGTGAGCACTTTTTATTCATTACCTCCCTGCTGCTTGTTGTCCTCGTGTCTGTTGTTACCTCCGGTGGTTCCTGTTTTTCCTCCCCTCCTCCTCATTTGCCTTTTTATCCGCGTCTGTCGGCTCGTGTTTTCCCAGCATGTGCCTATTTCACACTGTTCCCATGTGTCTGCTGCCCCACGTCTCCATGTCTGTCTTGTCTGTATGTCCTTCAGGACAGGCCTGTTCACCCCAGACCTGGCGTTTGAGGCCATAGTGAAAAAGCAGATCATTAAGCTGAAAGAGCCCTGTCTGAAATGCATCGACCTGGTCATCCAGGAGCTCATCAACACAGTCAGACAGTGCACCAATAAGGTATCACTGCATGGTCACCTGCCCGACTGCGACTCCCATGCATAGCTTGTGCTGCCAGGTGCATTTGAGTTTATCTTTTAGCATTGTGCTTTTGGACATAATTGAATGATTGAAAACTCCTGAAAAACCCGATGAATTCAAAGTGAGATTACTGCAGTCCTGCTTTCACTAATGTGAACATGAGTGGATACAGTTGGATGTCCTGGCTGTGCTGCAGTGCATTGGAGTGGTGTCTCTGAGAGGCTGTGTGGTTAAAAGCAGACGGGCTGTGACATGTTCCTGTGCAGGTTCATTGCAAAACAAGTTGCAGGCCTGATATCAGCTGCTTTATGAGGCGGTACTTTGGAACGCTCATGCTTTGAGTTTCATGCAAATGTCAGCATGATCACAGGACGTACAGCTGAGATTAATGGACTGCTGGACAAGTGATATCAGTAGTGCATCCAGTAGCTGATAAATATTTCAACGTGGTGGACGAACCGACCTACAGATCGACTCTGCCATCCAAAGACTCATGTTTCTAGCATGCTGACTCCTAGGAAGTTTCAGTGAACAGTTTTGAGAACCTGCAGCTTGTTTCTGTTCTGAACATGAATTAGAACTAACTAAACACCTGTTTTTCTTCTTTGTCATGTTCCTCAATCTTCACCTTTCTTTTCCTCCTGTTTTCCCCATACTTCTCCATCCAACTTCCATTTTTCTACTACCATTACTTTTTTGTCTTTTTCTTTTTCTACCACAACCCACGCTACACTTCCTCCTCCTCCTCCTCCTCCTCCTCTCACCTGATATTAAACCTCCGACTCCCATGACGCCTCACCACAGGACAGGCCTGTTCACCCCAGACCTGGCGTTTGAGGCTATAGTGAAAAAGCAGGTCATTAAGCTGAAAGACCCGTGTCTGAAATGTGTTGACCTGGTCGTCACCGAGCTTGTCACCCTGATCAGGAAGTGCACTGAAAAGGTAAACACTGAATAGCAGAGGGATGTTTAAAAGTGATGCTGACAGAGGGCAGAAAAGGGAAGAGAGTGAGGGGGGGAAAAAAAAACAGAAATGCAAGTTCAGGTTTAAAGAGTTCAATAAACTAACTCACCACTGTCAGTGTTGTCATCGCTGCTTTAAAGGCTTCCCTCAGCTCCCACCACCCTGCTGCTTCTCCCTCCGCTGACCCTTGATGTCAAATCTAAGATCCCCTCCCCCTTCTGACGCTGGAACCCTGGAAAACCACAATCCATTATCAGCGCTGGGATCATTGATTTAACAAGTCCTTACCCTGCCTCATTATCCAATCAGAGCTCCCACCCACTACCCGCACACTAAGAAATTTAGCTGCACAACGGTGGCTGTTTTTATGTATTTTTCCTGTGGTACACCTTTTCTACACTATTGACACCCATAATACACCCCAAAAGACTCCTCCTAATGCTATCCACTCTTCATCTCTTTCTAATCAGATTTTTTTTCCTCCCTGATTTGTTGAGACTCCCTGTGAGTTTGAGATTACATCACAAAGTCAGAGTTAGTTAAACCTCTGAACCCCAAAAACACGAATTTGAAAAGCATGTTATTTTAAAAATGGACTAAAATTACAGCATTAGTTAGATCCAAAAACTGCAAAAATAGAAAAGATTTTGGAATTTGTAACTTTCTGATGGTCTGTTAGCTAATCATGTGTGACGTGCAGTTCCTCCAGGAAAAATAGTGAAATCTAAACTTAAAGATATCACTGTATTTTACATGTGTTATTTAAAAATTTGACCCAAAAAAGTGTTTACAGCCAGATTCTGTAGAGAAAAATACAAAAAATTCTTCACTACCCACTACAACCGAGAAGCCATTGATAATTTTACTACAACTAACAGTCAAGTGACGGAAATTCTGGGATTTCTCGGCTGAACTGCCGGCTGTGTTTATACAGAGTAGATGGAGACAAGTAGGGAAACACATGAAAACTGAAAGTAGGAATTAGAAATATTTATCCCATGTACAGCCACCTCTTTTTCTAGTTTTGGCAACACCTGTGGGCACACATACACAAAAAAAAACTGTTTTATTTTTTGTAATTAATTAATTAATTAATGTAATTTAAAATTAATTTGTTTTTTTTTTCTTTGTTATGGTTTATGGCACCATACATTGCCATGCTTTACAAAAGACCTTTTTCTTTAATTTTTATTGTTTTTTTAAATTGAGTTTTTGTTTTATTTTAACAAACAGAACAACAATGTCCCCATCCCAGACAGCCATACAACCCGTCAAATAAAGGAAAAAGTCTAAATAAATAATTAAAAACAAGGATAATGAGAAGTATTGACTACACTTGAGTAAAATTGTATAACAATAATAAAGAAAAAATAAGTAAAGGAGTGAAAAGGAATAAAATAAATAAAAATACACATATATATTTAGAAAAAAAACACACGACACAAGATTACATGTACAGATAAATAACATAAAGCAACATAAAAACACCCAGAAATTGTTGGGAGTTCAGAGGATTAAGCTGTTACTGATTTCTAATTTGGTGCCTGAACAGGATGGATTGAACACTTCGTGGAAAAGAGCTCTCATCACATCTACAGCTCACAAGAAATCTCAAGCTGACAGGAGACTCACCAGTGCATGCCCCCTCAGTCTTTACCTGTCCTGCCTCATATTTGTGTACATTTACTGTCAGTGGTGTAGCTGCTTGCGAGGAGTGTGTTTACAGAGCAAACCTGCACACAGTAGGTGTGTATCCAGCATCTATCTGCAGCGGCGCATGTGTGTGTGTTTTCTGTTTGTGTGACTGCAGCTGGGCTCGTACCCTCGACTGAGAGAAGAAACCGAGAGGATCGTCACCACCTACGTCAGAGAGAGAGACAGTAAGACCAAAGACCAGGTGAGTCAGTCAGAGGAGCAGACGTGCAGGTTACCTGAGCGCCTTCATTTCTCTGTATACACAACATGCGTTGTGTTTTGGCTCTCAGGTGCTGCTGCTGATCGACATCGAGCTCTCCTACATCAACACCAACCACGAGGATTTTATTGGATTTGCCAAGTAAGACGAACCGCACATATCGAATGAAGGGTTTTATTAAGATCGGCAGAGTTGGAGGTCGATGACATGACTGAAAAATTACATTTATCAGCAGCTCTTTTGATATTCTGTTAATTTTCGTTCAAACAAAAGATCCTTGGTTTCATACTGAAAAGCTAGGATGCGGTAGGTCATTTTATTGGTCTTATTAAACAAGGAATTTCTCCGTATCTCATGGATTACAACAGATTTAAAATTTTTCTCCATTTCCCAACAGTAGCTGCTTTTCTCCATCTTATTCTCATCAACACCCAGTCAGTCAATGTGGAGTCTCTGATCAATCGAATGGAAAGATCTTTACATTTTCCATGTGAAATAGTTAAAATATTCTGTAGCACGAGGAAAAAATTAAACGTCATTGAACTGGATTTATAGAAAACATGTCATTTTCAATATGAACACACATGAACATTTTTGGCAAATAACCACACATACATTTAAACAGATTTCTTACTGAGTGGGACATTTACAGTTGTAACATGTTAGTGCTCTCTGGTGGACAAGCTGCATGATGGCAACACACAATCCCACAAACACAACTTTAGTGTTTCTCTACTGCTCTTTTTTTTGTGACTGCATTTATGCCAGTAAGAGTAAATGTGCTCCAAGCTAATGTGACCTTTAACTGCTGCCACAGACATTTGTTTTTTAAGTCTGCAAAGTCAAAATGACTGAGAAAACACTGTATAACTGTACTGCTAGTTTCGTTGTTGTTGTTTAAGTAGCTACTTTTCTGAAGATATTCAAACGCGTACAAACTTTTAATTTAATTATTATCAGTAACTAGTAGCTGCTATTCTGTTTCTGTAGCTTTGGATACAGAAAAAAACTCGAGTAATACAGTAAACTGATGTTGCTGTTAGTATTAAAACGGCTTTGTTTTGCTCATATAAAAACTGAAAATGATGGGCAGAAAATCCTAAATTACTGAGATAATAATTTAATTCTAATGTGCTGCTTTTCTATGCCTTATGTAAGAATAACTTTTAATGTGTTTTTTGGTGTTGTCCAGTGTTCATCAGATAAAATAAATAATTTAAAGACGTGACCTCGGGCTTAAGAAACATTGACGGACATTTTTGAAATTTTATAGAATAAAGGATTAATTAGAAAAATAATTGCTTGAGTAATAGATAACCAAAATAATGATTATTTATAGTAGCAGTAGTGATATCACTTCACCTGAGGATTAGATTAAAGGCACATTTGTCTTCTTTTGAGCTGAGTTTTTTCTGATCATGCACACAAGAAAAGAATTCATTCTACTTTTAGTTATGTGGAAAAAGCTAAATTCACTCTTCAGTGCGCTACAACATGAAATAATAAACTGAGTTCTGCTTGAAAATGGTACAAACCTTTGCTCATATGCTATTGAATCTTTCTCCTGCAGTGCCCAGCAAAGGACTGCTGCTAATATCACCAAGAAGAGAGTGATGCCCAATCAGGTAACTAAAAATCACTGCGTTCATTCACCTCAGCTAAAGCCTTCACACCACTGTGGCATCATAGCAGCTGCTTTCTCCTGCTGTTTTTTTTCTGTTTTATTTCTTGTTCCCTCCTGTTGTTTGTCTCAGCCCTTCTCTCCTGACATTACCGCCCTCCGTTGCTTCACATTTTCATACTCTTGTCTGTGCTTTATTTCCCTTTTCCTCTCTCTCCTTCTTCTGTTCCTCCTTTTAATGACCCAGGGAGAGATTCTTGTAAGTATCGTGTCCCCTGCCCTGCACCTCCACGTGTCACTTCCTCTTTAGGTGGGTGGGGGCAGTCAGCAGTCACTCAGACCGTGTAGAGAAACCACATTTGTGCTCCCTGATGAAGAAGAGGGAAGTGAGAGTTACACTCATGGATTGATCATGAGAACTGGAACACACTTTGATGGTTTACTGTAATGTTTTCAAGATTCAAGGGTTTTCGTTCGTCACATGTTCGCGCATGACGTGTGAAATGTAAAGTGACTATTGCTCAAGGCCATGCAATAATAGCGGGAGAGTATGAAGAAAAAGGCACATCATGAATAATAAGGAGGGAGTGATTGTGATGCTCCGTACAGAGGATGTTGTTGTAAATCTGTTTCGACAGGAGGGTCTCTTCATCTTTAACTGTAATGAGCTGCAGTTTAAAGGTGCAGTTTATCTGTAAAGTTTGTGAAACCTCCTGCTCACATCGCTCGGCTACACGCTGTCATATCATTACCTTAAACCAAAAGCTGTGGCTTGTTTATTTTGTGGCTCACGAGCTCAGACGCTCACTGTGGTGGTTGGTGTTTAAACAGTCTGAACAGTGAAGCAGTTTCTGGGCGTTTACTGACTGTGAGCTCATTTTTTTTTATTGCAGTATAAAGTCCTGCACCTCTATGAAAACAGCACAAGCGTGGCTAGAAGTAGAATTTAAAATGACTTATGTGCAGTATAACCAACATGAAATGTCATAAATTATAAAATAGGAAAAACAAACTTTGATTGTATAAAAATGGGGGAAAAAAATACGGAATAAAGAGTGAACAGTATTTTTCAAGTGCCCACAGTTGTTACCATTCCTGGAAAATGGTGACTATATAACCATCCATCCATTATCTATACACCGCTTAATCCTCACTAGGGTCACAGGGGGGCTGGAGCCTATCCCAGCTGACTTAGACCTGGACAGGTCACCAGTCTATCACAGGGCCACACTTAGAGACAGACAACCAAGCACACTCACATCCACACTTACAGACAATTTAGAATCACCAAATAGCCTCAACATGTTTTTTGACTATGTGGGAGGAAGCCGAAGAACCCGGAGAGAACCCACGCTGCACAGAGAGAACATGTAAACTCCATGCAAAAAGATCCCAGGTGTCCTCACCGGGACGCGAAGCAGCGACCTTCTTGCTGCGAGACAACGGTGCTAACCACTGAGCCACCTTGCAGCCCATGACTATATATTGTGTAGATAATTTACAATACTCTTACATTTTTAACTTGTTTACTTACCTGTCTTCTATCTGCTATGTGTAAACACTGCCTGCAGTTCATCCTTGAAGTCCCTGAATTTTTGCCATGTGACTGTTTTTCACCGCTGAGTCACCAATGGCTTCACAGTTGCACCGAGGAGTGCAGATGTTTTCCTTTTCTTACAGAATCTAGTTCCTGCAAACTGTTTATTTTTCGCATTAGGCATTAGGCAAATTAGGCATGACGAGTAAACTGATTTTGATGACAAATTACAATTTTAAGCTTAGATTGGGATTTTTACGACAAAACGACGCGACAGATGAGCAGTTCAAGGACTGATTCTTGCTGTTTTCATAGTTTCTGGGCCTGATAATATCGTGTAGATTTTTAAAAGATAAATAATCTTTTAAACCCGCTGGCAGATTTGGGGTTCAGAGGGTTAACTGGGAGACAGATTTCCCTTTTGACAGCTTCTGAGGTCATTCCGAACGTAAGGCTTTATCACTGACACCCAAACTGTGATAATTTAAAATGCTTCGTCTGACCAAGCTCTGGAAATTCTTAGTTTCACTGTAGCAGTTTTGATCTGGGAAGTGAAGCCTTTCGTTGACTGTTTTCAGTCAATCTACAGGCTCTTCTCAAAATCATCTATATATACTGCAGCGTGAACACTATATCTAACAATGACACCCATCCACAGTCGTGACTTATACTGACTTAAAAATACACTGAGCATAGAAAGTAATAAATTCCTCCTCTGGTGGTCTATAAAGAGAAACATCTTTTCAAGCCTCGTGCAGCTCCACAGCTCTCTGCTGTGACTAATTGCCTGCAAGTCTCACTCTCCAACTCTGCAGTACATTTGTGGTTACGCCTTCCACATTAGAGAATTGCATTTGTGTGCTCGTTATCCCTCTGTGTCCTTTTGTCTTTTTGTCCATCAGTCTGGCAGAGAGAGGGATGCAGAGAAGGTGATTTTATACTGAAACCTGTTGTGGCTTGCATTTTATTCTCTACATTTGTGGTGTATTTTTATATATATATATAAAGCTGCAGAGGTTGCTCTCTTACTGGTGCATCTGCATGGCTGTTGTGCTGTTTTTTAACGTCGCCGTGCCATTTCTTTGAAGATGTTTGTAGTTTTCTGTTTGCTTGCTGCATATTGCCCCCCTCTTGCGGGGTGTGTGGCGTAGTCAACTGTTGGACTCTCGTGTGCAGGTCATCCGCAGAGGCTGGCTCACCATCAACATCAGCATCATGAAGGGAGGGTCCAAGGACTACTGGTTTGTCCTGACAGCCGAGTCTCTCTCCTGGTACAAAGATGAGGAGGTAAGGCTACGTACCGGACAGGAAATGCAAAAAAAAATAAATAAAATGTGTCGGTAACACATTTTTTCTCTATGGGAAGAAAGTTGGATAGCAAAATCTTACTTGTTATGCCTTTTAAAGAAACCACTTCAAGCTGCTCTTAAAGTAAGCTGGCGGTTTACTTTCTTTTATTTCCATGTTTTTTCTGCTATTTCAGGAGAAAGAAAAGAAGTACATGCTGCCTCTTGACAACCTGAAGCTGAGAGACGTGGAAAAGGGCTTCATGTCCAGCAAACACGTCTTTGCCATCTTCAATACTGAACAGAGGTCTGGATGCTTCTAAAACTGGCGCTTTTATTGTGTTTTTTCTTTTTTGGTTTGTTCTTACGTCAACGGTGCATGTGTGCCTTACAGGAACGTGTACAAAGACCTGCGTCAGATCGAACTGGCATGCGACACTCAGGAGGATGTTGACAGCTGGAAGGCCTCCTTCCTCAGGGCTGGTGTTTACCCAGAGAAAGACCAGGTATTCACACTGAAATTACTGCAGGATTCCAGCAGAATCTACATTCTTTAAACGGCGTTCTGTGACACACGGTGTTCACCTGAGTTTGCGTATCGAACACAATGCATTTTGCATGTCAAAAGATTTTACATATTCCATTAAAATGTTTACAGAGATAGGTTTGCACAGGACAAAGGCTCTTTTTTTAGTAACATTGTCCGACGTGCTCATTCAATTTGCTGCCCTGCTGATCGAATATCCAGGACACTGTTTACCGTCCTTGTATTTCCAGGCGCTCTACTACAAATTTAACATCCAGGACTGTCGTTTCTAAATGTATTTATTTTCGAGAATGCACCTAAAACGATCTGTTGTTCATGGTCAGAATTACTGATTTAGTGTAGATAAAGGACAAATGTAGGAATGCACCTTGACATGCGTTTGCATTCGTGTGGACGAGACTTTAGAGCTGCGCAACAGAAACCTGCGAGTCATAAGTGTAGTTAGAGCTCCACAGTGTTTCTCTGTAGAAGAGCCAATCAAAGTTTCTTTAGTTATTATTTATTTCATTTTTAGATAAACATGCTCAGAAGCTCAGCTAATTTTCAGTTTATTCAGATTTGAGCGACAAGTGACTGGACAGCCCACCAACTGTCAGTGGGAGCTTTAAATACTGCATCGTCCTGATTAGCGTTTCAAAGCATGAGGCATCACAATTTTTCCAGCAGATTTCCACCCACTTCATTATCAGTGGGCAGCACAAACAGAAAAAAAAAAACCACAAAACTAAGATTCCAGATTCAACAGATTCAGATGTGTGAAATGCCCCCAAACTGTTTGAACTTTGACAGAAAACAGGTTAGAGTTAGAGAGACACAAACTAACTCTGTCTCTCCTGTTTGTCCTCCAGCCTGAGAACGAAGACACGATAAACTCTAGCGACACCGTGTCCATGGACCCACAGCTGGAGCGACAGGTGGAAACCATCCG